AAAGAAAGTTTTGGATTGGAACCCACAGGGCAAGAGATCAAGGGAAAGACCTTGTGGAACCTGAAGAAGAATCACAGAAATCGATGTGCAGAAAAGTGGGAAGACATGGAACAACATCAAGAGGCTAGCCCAGGATAGAGAAAAGTGGAGGGTGTTTGTCCGTGGCCTTTACCCTGGTGCAGGGTGAGAAAGGCAATGATGATGATGATACAGTATAACCCGGATAGGTCGAACACAGAAGACTCGAAATCACGATTCCGTCGAGCCTTGCCTGCGGTTCCGTTTTCTCTTCTTCTTTATCTTTGTAAGAAATTTATGCGAAGCTCGAAAACAAACATGGATTCGTCGAACTAATTACGCCATAACACGGTTCATGTATCCCTCGAACCATGGATCCCTCAAACTACCAAGGCCGGTCCCGAGGAATTCGAACTATTCGTTATACTTTATAAGGGATCTGAGAGCATTATTATTATTAATATTACCTGTGCATCTCTGATCATATGTCTCGTCAACCTCCATGAAACCAAGATATTAGAAAAAATTTAATAAAAGTGAAGAGAAAAAAAGGTCACTGGAAAAGAAAGTAGCAATTGATAAATTGGTCGGTCGAGGGTAATCTATCATAATAATATTAAATAATAAAAGTGATCCCATTGGTTAATCGTTAGCCTCTCCTGGGCTTGTATCTATGTCATCACAAGTGGATTTAGAGTATGTACTGAGAGGAATTTATGATATCTTAAAAAAAAAGGAGAAAAATTCCAATTCAATTCGGATTCTAACCTGGAACTTCCACAAACTGCCTTTGTTTATCACCAATAGCCTCTGCAGCTGACCCTTTCGTTATACTTTACTTTTTAAAACTTTTTACTTTTTCCTTTCTCTGGTATCCTTAGGATGTCGAGGGGGAGGTGCAGGTTTCGGTCTTGTGCTAGGTGTGTAGCGTCTGTGACAGATATGTGTCACGACCTGGTGGAATCATGCGTTTGTCAATTTTTTGGACATGTGGAGTAATTAGTGTCATCTGAAAGCTGATTTATTTGCCTCGCTTCTATTTAAATAAATATCTATTTATCTAGAATATAACTCAAGATATCTTCATTTGAAAGAAGTGAGGTCGTCTGATTTCAGTGGTGAAATTAACGAGAAAATGGCTGCTAAAGTTGGGTAACTCAATAGCTAAAAGGTCTTTGAAACTGACAAATGTCAAATTTTGTGCCTTTAACTCGTTCGCTACGCCGAGCCATGGGCAGCGCGCAAGTGACTTCCATACGACAAGCTGCCCCCTACGGCTTGAAAACTGATTTATAATTCTAGCTTAGATTTTATTCCAAACTACATATCCATGTTAAAATAAAGGTTATAATATAGATCTAACGTTGACCTCCAGGTCAAGCATTTCCAGTTTCCACCAAAAATCGAAAGTTTGATTCAGTTTTGAAACACGATTTCGAAGTTTATGTGACTTTGTTTTATCGCGATGCCCAAATTTTAACCAAAACATCAGTCTTAGTACTATTACACAACAAAATGCATCATTATTTTGCTTACTAAAGAAATGTAGGACTCTTCTTTAGAATATTGATAGGCCTACTTTTACTCTTAGACTCAATTTGCCATAGCTCTGTTATTGAGAAATCAATATTTTTCAGTGCTAGATCTAGATCTATTAAATTGTCAAAATATTATTTTCTCCCCAAAATTACTATTTTTTGGGTAAAATTACACAAAAAGCACAACTGAAGACATGTGAGGGTTTATTCTGAAAGCAATTCTGAATAATTCCATATGAGACACAAGTGGGTTTTTTTTCTGTTTGTTAATGCTTATCTTTTTTTCAAGAATATAAAAGAAATAAAAAATGTTCAGTATCGGATGTTAAGATCCAAATGTACAAATTTTGTGGAATATTTGGCGCTGGCATGAAGATGCTATTGATGAGCTGGGATTTCAGTTCCGTTGGGAAGTTCTTGTGACTGAGCAGGGGTGCTAGGAGGTAGGTCCCTGCATTTGCCTTCATAGTTCATGTTTCTATTTCTTTGTCCAGAAGCCCATCTTGAGTGAAGATATATTTTTTTAATATAGTGGTATATCAATGGTATACTAAATGCACAGGCTTACATCTGTCTGACTTCCTCCATATATTCCGGATGTTTCTGCACATAATCCTGGAAGGAGTGAATGGTGAGGCTCATCTGTATGGACTGTTCTGCTGTGGCTTCTAGGTGTCTGTTGATGGGCAGGAACCTGGAGGGAGTGAGAGAAGATGAGAGTGGGAGGAGATGGGATGTTGTGGAGGGATAACAGTGTCATGTGTGTTGATAATTGTGTGTGTGTGTGTGAGTGAGCATGTGTGTGTAAATACGCATGTGTGTGTGTGTGTGCATTTGTATGTGTTTGTGTATGAATGTGTGTGTGTGTGTGTGTGTGTTTGTATGTGTTTGTGTATGAATGTCTGTGTGTCACAAAAGATAGAGGGGGAGAAAAAGATAAATGTGAGGTTCTGTGTGAATGATGGATGAGAATAGGAGAAAGGCCCCAGGACCAGACCACATCACCAATGAGATGATCCTCAACCGGACAGACTCTTCCCGTTCCATACTCCTGGACTTCTTCAACAGGACCTGGAGTGAGGGACAGCTCCCAACAGAATGGAAGAAAGCAAACATCACACCGATACTGAAGAAGGACAAACCAGCAAGCCAGCCTTCAAGCTATAGACCAATCACTTTAACATCATGCCTGGGTAAGGCCGTCGAGAGAATGGTCAACGACAGACTGTACTGGTGGATGGAAAACACCGGCACAATCAGCACATCACAGGCAGGATTCAGGAAAGGCAAAAGAACCATGGACCACCTCATCAGATTTGCCCAGAAGACCAGCGATGCCTTTCAAGATAAAGATAATGTTGTGCTGTCTTGATCCACCTGAGGCAGGCGTATGACCGTATGACAAAAACTGTTCCACAACAAAATGCAAAAGCTTAGGACAGCAGGAAGGATGTACAGCTGGATCAAGAACTTTCTGTCTTGCAGAACTATCCAGACATCATGTGACAACAAGAATTCTTCACAGAGGACACTCGAGGAAGGCCTTCCACAGGGGTCAGCACTCAGCTGTACCCTCTTCCTGTTGTTCATGAACGACTTGCCAGATGTCATCTCCTGCCAGAAAGCACTCTAAGCTGACGACTTGCTCATCAGGAGCAAAGGAAGTGACATGAGAGCACTGGACCAAGCCATCAATGCACACCTGACTACTACTCGTCCTACTGCCAGCTGTGGAAGATGGAGATCAACACAGACAACACTGTTTTTGGACTCTTCAGCCTCAAAAACAAGGTAACAGCAAGTCAGGTAAACCTTAAGATCAATGGAACCACCATCAGACATGAGGACTATCCCAAGTACCTTGGAGTACAACTGGACCGAAAGCTGTCTCTCAAAGAGCACTTAGGCGAGCTGACCAAGAAGGCCACCTCCAGACTAAACCTTCTGTAGAAACACCTTTCATCACTCAACTGGAGAGCTGACCAAGCAACCCTCCGACAACTTTATATAGGGTATGTCAGATCTGAGATTGACTACTCCCTACCACTACAATCAATAGCCAGCTAAAGCTCTTTGGCACAGCTTGACAGAGTACAGAACCAAGCACTCAGTTTTGTTCCTGGTGCGATGAAGACCACGCCTACAAGCGCCTGCGAAATCCACACCAACATTGAACCACAGGACCTCAGAAGAAAGAGTGTTACACTCTAAACCTACAAAAGATTTGTGCAGCTAGAAGACACGAACGAAAATTGAAAAATGGCAGATGAGTGGGAACCAAGAACACGCATCCAGAAGACCTCCTTCAAGCGAGAAGCAACAAAAAAAACTACACCCGAGAACAGAGAACCAACATCACCAGAAATCACAATAAGGACGAGATTTCTAGACGATTCTTGTGACAAGACCACACCAGAAGAAATTCTCAGAACTAGTGCCCTGGAGACAGTGGGCTCGTTTGCTGAAACTCCAATTCATGCATACACAGATGGGTCAGCAAATAACGCTACATGGAATGCTGGATACGGATTTATCATCAAATATCGAAACGACCTTGGAGAAGAAACAGACCCAACTATTTGGACCATGTGGAACATACAGCTTTAACAATGACACAGAGAGAGTTGCCATGGTAAAGACCCAGGAGCAGATCGCCCAAGACTTTTTTTAAGGCGCAGTAACACCGGGGGATGTTGTTGTCTTCTCTGACACAATGTCAGTACTCCAAGCCGTCGAGGGAGGAGGAGACTACAGAGGCGACGGGAACTTTTTCAGCCTTGTAAAAGAGATGGACACTTCCTATGGCATCCGGGTCACACTGCAGTAGGTGCTAGGCCATTCTGGAGTACCAGGAAATGAGACTGCAGACAAGCTATCAAAGACTGGAGCCAGCCTGCCCCAGACAGACACAGCTGCCTCTTTACACCTGCAGAGGGATCATCAAAACCAAAAGCAGAGACGAGTGGCTAAACAGATGGGCCAACGCAGAAACTGGAAGATCTCTCTTCGGGTACATGGACAAAAACCCAATCCCAAAGACCCTTTGAGTCTCTTATGTAGAGCCGATCAGACATTGATCTTCAACGCCCGCACAGGACAATTACACACGAACAAGCACATAAACAGAATTAATCCCATGTGGGAACCCCATTGCAGACACTGTGACTACAAAGAGGAGACCGTTGAACATCTTCTCCTTCACAGCCCAAACTTGGCAGTTTTTCGACACAGGCTCCTACACACACCAACAGACTTACAAAGTCAGCTCTACTCTGATGTTGACTAGATGACCAGGACATGTGGTTTCTTGAGGGAGGCATTGCGCTGCCAAGAGCAAAAAGCTGGCCGCTAAAGGGATTTGAAAACAACAACAACATGTTTTATTTAACAAAATACAGGAGATGCAGGGTATTCCACGACAAAAAAAAAAAAGGCAGGTGCTAGCCACCCGATCAGGGGAGGCTAGCATTTTGCTACCAGTACTCAAACAATTTCGGTCGATAAGCGCGATGCTTCTGGCCCGTGGGGACTTTTGCGACCTCGGATGGCTAGCATTTTCTGCCCAACCAGAGCCGGTCACCTAGATCTAGTACTAGATAGGGTAAACACGGCCTCGAAGCCTTCCGAGTGACATTAAACTATAGAGAGCACCTAGCACACCTCTGTGATTGGCCCAAATATAGATGCCATATTTCCGCCATCAATTTTTGTCGTCTTCCGGGGTTTTCCTCGCCAGTTGACTAGATCTATCACCCTTTACTATTATTCATCGGAATGCTGGCGACAAAGTTACTAAATATAGGAATGTGTTATCAAAGATTCTCTACTACCGATGTTTCAATTGCCCTCTATCTCGCGTCCGAACGAGACTTGGGTGCGACCTTGTCTTAGCGCGTGACGGCCCGTGATACAAGTGTAAACGAATGTTCCAGCACCGAGTTGAAAGCGAGCAATTTTGTCTGCGTGCAGAGAGAGAAAGAGAGAGAGAGAGAGAGAGTAACATGAAACATGCGCAGAAATCCCCATGGACCAGAAGCATCAGGCTAATCGACCAAATTCATTCGTGTAGCGAAACGCTAGCCACCCCAGATCGGGCAGCTAGCCACTCTGAAAAAACAACAACTGGGTTTTCTTGCTATAGTATAGTTCTATAAACGAAGGTAACTCCCGGAAGTTTGTATTTTCCCAGAAACCATTTCAGTTTTACTTAGCTTCCCTTTCATCATAAGCTTAGTTAAAACGAAACCCTCTGATTTGACTTTTTCACCTCTTGGAGTTGGGGTATGGAAGACGGAAGCTTTCCATGTTGTCGTTAGCGACCTTCATTTGTTCAGGGTGTGTCTCACCTGTAGTGGCCAGGATCTGAAGGAGAAAAATATGAGTAGATAACTACAGTAGTTACCATTAGACAGCTCAGAAATCAAGAAAAGAATTTCTGTCTCTTAGTAGTTTTAGTCTTAGAATAGCATGTTCAGTCCAGGTAAATGTACTTGTATTAACAAAATGTCTTTCATTTATTAGTCTATTCAGTCAAAATGTGAATATTACGTAGTTCGATTGAAGCAAAACTGTGGAACTCTTTAATTCACAGAAACAGTTATCGAGTCCACCTGCAGTAAGCCAAATATATTACACCTTCTAGCACATACATTGATACAACTAAATTGTTGCTTTACAGTCTTGTTATTTTTGTTAAAGTGTGATACCAACTGTCTGAACTCTCCTTTAGTTCAATCACTTTCCTTTGAGATTCATCCTAATTTTGACCTGGATTTATGTTTCGCAAAGCTAATACAGTTTCATTAATTCATGGGTGTCATATTAAAAAATAGCACCAGCATGATCAATGACGAAAATAAAGTCTTGAACCGGTACTTTTGACAGGCCATTCTAGTAACTGAAGGCCTATTCTTTTTAATATCAACAAGCTTTTTTCTTCTGCCCATGTTTTGCATCTTAACTAACAGGGTTATAAAAAATCCTCAAGATTCACCTTCTTGTAAATACTCAGCACTTCCTGATCTTCATAAGAAGGGAATCCTCCACAGAACACGGCCATAACCCCACCTGGTTTCAGCATTCTGTCTGTTTCTGCGTAGAAACTGCAACGACAAAAGTGTGAATGAATGTTTGTTTTAGTAAGGTTTTACAGCGCTCACAACTGCATAAGGTCATATGAGCACCAAGGGGTGGATGTCAATAGAGAAGTCCAAACAGGGAATCAGGCTTACTCTGCTCACCTCTCGAGCCTCAACAGCACAGTCTGCTTCGACTATCAAAGCACCCCAGAAATAGCAGTTCACAAGAAAGTGACAAACATGATACAAAAGAAGTAGAGGAAAATGGTGATAGTAAGGATGAGGAAAGAAAAAGCAGCAGTTCCCCCTATGCCGTTCCGGCACAGTATGAGCATGGCATAGATAAATCAGCCCATTTGCAATCTACTGTGCATAAGAACATGTTAATATCCCCCCTTAAGGAATGGGCTAAAGACAACTTCAGTCAGTAGCACTCTCCTGGTGTGTGTGTGTGTGGGGGGGGGGGGTGGTGGTGAATGAAGGAATGGTTATTGTAGACAAAGACAAGCAGAGTGAGTGACATTGTGCTCTCACATTGAAGCACTTACAAAAACACACCTTAACGCACAAACACACACACACACACATACACACCCAGACATAAACTGTCACAGACTAACTTACATTATAACCACTACCTACACACACACACGGTCACACACTAAATTACACAAATTCATAACCACTTAATTACTACACACACACAGACTTAAACTGTCTCATACAACTTTACATGCAGCATAATCCGCTTATGTCGACATGCTCTGGGAAGTGGATTTGATGTCGATATCGCTGGCTGGGTGCAACACTGCGACAAGCGCCAAAATCCTGAAAATCTTCTTTTTTTAAAGTAGCGATACCAAAATAGTGGCACACATTGTGTCAAAATATCAAATTCCTACAATGAATAGAGCCGAAGTTGCAATTGTGTGACAAGGTGTATTCCATAAATATCTTGGACTCTTGGACCAATACTGCCACAAAGGCTCTTGACACTGTCCCAAGAATGTAGCTTTGGCTTGTCCATGAAGACTGAACAAGAGCACATGTCGCTTTGTTGCCCCAAGATTATTGCTTTCTCTTGTTGGTAAATTCCAAAAACAAATACACTTATCGCAATTTTGCACAGTCCAATTTTTGTTTGTTTTGGCCATACAACTTACAAGATCAGGCAAGTTCCTGTTGTCCACCACTGTTTCCTGTTGCCGTGCCGTTTCAGAAGCTGCATGAACGGTAGATTTAGATCTAGATCACTTACAAGCAAGAGTAAGTATGCTTTTATAATGCTTTTCTAGATTATTTGTTAATAGTTTCAATAACCATGTAATGATCAAGGCCTAACTGAGTATAAACATTTGAAGGAAAAATTACTTTAATGTGTAAACGGGACCCTGACAATTTTAGATCGATAATTGGTTAGACTCTTTCTCATGCTTTTGTCTAAACTTGTGGCTCTGCAGGTAATTGGGCATTGTCGATGGTTACCACCCCCACCCCCCCTTCCCTCAGAATACAGTGTTGCAGCATAGCGTATTGTTGAAATACATATATATTCCCTATGTTTCTTTGCATCATATTCCTATACACATTCCAATTGCAAGCTGTTGTTTATGTCAGATAACTTTTAGCTGGCATTCTCATACATAAATTGCACGGAAAATCAGTACTTGATTAAAACTATCTCATTTTGATGTTGTAGTTGTTGTTTTTTAATTAATACATTTTTAGCACTTGCGTTGTTTATAAACGCAGAGAGAGAGAGAGAGAGAGAGAGAGAGAGAGAGAGAGAGAGAGAGAGAGACAGAGACAGAGACAGAGAGACAGAGAGAGAGAAAGAGAGAGGGAGAGAGAGAGAGAGAGAGAGAGAGAGAGAGAGAGAGAGAGAGTATACCTGGCTTGATTGAAGACATTTTGATTACACTGTGTATAAAGAGGAGTTTTGTTAGCGTTGGTGAACAATTTTCAGCTGGCACTCTTTTTTTGTGCATTGGCCTTCAGCCGCTGAAAACAGAACAGAACATTTTCCTGACACAATTTCTCTTTAATGTCCCCAGGCTTCAATAATGGCGAATATATCCTTCGACGAAGACGACATTCCATTGGCACAACTCAAATCAAAGAAACCCTGTCAGGACTTCAGCAGTGAAGACGATGAACCTCTTGCCACTCTTCGGCATCGATCTCCACAAGTATTTGAGGAAAGTACCGAAATCTATGATTCAGATGCTGACCCCGAGTTTCAACTAGGGGAAATGTGAAGTGTTGCGCTGCAAACAGGATGGGTGGGCAGCTTGCGAAAATTGTGACATTTTTGTACTCTACGATCATAGCACAGAAGAAGCAAATTCGTGTGAGGATCCCGGGAAAAAGAACAAAAAGAAGGACAGCACCAAGTGCAAAGGAGATCATAATGTACGTGGCAAAGAAATCGTTGCGGGGCAAAGAGCAGGCGATGGACACAGTGGAGGAGAAGAGCCAATGACAGACAGTAGGCAGGCAACAGTGGAGCAAGTTGAAGGAGATAGAAGGAAGAAACAGGATAGTGTAGGGGATGAGGAAAAACACGCTATGAGGAGAGAAGAAACTCGGGAGGAAGAAAAAGATTTTATAAAGATAACATACTTGTTCAAATCCAGCCAATGGACGGCAGAAGCAACACTGACCAGATCCACTGTTCCAGACTCGATAAAATTGAGTGGAAAGTTGCAGTCTGCAACCTTGTACGTTATGTTGCTCAAGTGACGAGGGGCTTTTGCCACATGAGAAGCACTTGCGTCTACACCAATAGCCTGATAAATAGAAACAGTAAGAATATAAATGTCATGGAGAGACAACACTGACGACAGCGTATTAAAAAGATATATTATACAGTATAACATGAATAGGTTGAACACAGAAGACTCAAAATCACGCGTCCGTTGAATGAACTGTGCTTGCGTTCCAAGTTTTTTCTCCTCCTTTATATTTTTGTAAGATATCCCTCAAATTACGGATCCTTCGAACTACCGAAGCCGATTCTGACGAATTGAGCTATCCCTGTTATACTGTAGGCTTATGTAGAGTTTCCTTACAAAATAAAGCAAATTTGATTTTATAATTCATCATAGATAGTGTTACGACATTTAATTTATATCTCTTCTTGTAATAGATGTACACTTTCAGACTTGGTGCACTCCGCAAAAAATACAAAGTTACAATCTTTTTCAAATTATTAAAATAAAATGAGAGTACTGCACACTTCAGAAAGTACTCTCTATGCTTTAATTACCTGTTTGTAAATACCCGCTAATGGCACTGTTGCTTGACCAGAACCACATGCGATGTCCAGGGCCAGATCAAATTCAGCTTTGTTTTCTTCGCAGAACGCCTGAATCGTCTCAAACACTTCCTGTGCATAAGTGGGCCGGTGCTCGCGGTAATGGTTAATGATCTCTTCCACATCATAAGGATTAGAACTTTTACCTGGGGTTGAGCCAGATGTTGAAGTTGAAGACATCTGGGCAGAGATATGTGGGCTTGTTGGTAGATGTCACTGGTAGAGATACTAGCGGGTTCTGGATTGGTGCAGCCGCAAAGCAACTTATACCATTGCCATTATAATCTGATTATGATGCTGTCTGCTACATGTATAGGCACACACTCTGAGAATAGAGAACGAAAGCAAAAAAATACATATCCTTCAAAAGTAACATCAAGCTTAAACCACAACATACTGTAGGCGTCTCCGCTAGATTTGGAATTGTAATTAAACTATATAAGTATAACGTACACGGATAGCTTGAATTCATCGGGACCAGCCTCGGTAGTTCGAAGTAGTTCGAGGGATCTCGAATGCCCACGAAACTTTGCATGGCACCTCTGCAGGCCAGAGACCTAACAAAATAAATTTTTTTTTCAAAATCTTGAACCAGTAATAAAAAAGTTTTTCTCTTTGGGCCCATTATTAAAAATCGCTTTTTGGGTGCATACACAGGATCACTAAAATACATTATGTAAATGACTTTAAATAACCGAGTCTACAAATTGCTCGTTTTGAGACAGAAACACCACCATGTCCCCTAAATTTCAGTGCACATTTGTAGATTTCATCCCCCTCCCCACTGTCTAGACGTCTCCACATGCTCATATGGGAGTCTAAAAAATAACTAACCCTGTCTCTTGAATCACGTTTCAAAGGGGTACGTTAGAGTGTGTGGTGTTGAGGAAAATACGTCAACTTTTTAAATGTTTTTTGGTATGCTGTAGATCCCCTCTTGTTTTTTTTACCTACTTTAGGCATACATCAAAGAAAAAGTGTCGGAACCTTAGTTCGCAGTAACCTTTATGTAGCCTACGTGCTTTAAGATGCTAGGGTGTTGGTCATCCATCTTAGCCCTTTTATAATAGAACGATTTCATTTTAGCGTAGGCCTACTTTAACCGCGGTCAGACGAAAGTGAACAAGCTATAATATCCATTCGTGTTACAACCACAACTCACCACTTATCTGAGTAGGCCTAATGCCACAAATGGACATCGTTAGCACACACACTGTACTCAGAGCAGGCTCAATGAAAGGGGAGAATATCATTTTTTAAATTTAATACCAGTACATGTACGGGACATACAAGTGCCACAGATTTTAAAAAGTGTTATTTTTATAATATGACAAGACTGTCCCCGCAGTAATTTGCAAATTGCAACCCTAAAATTTGCCAAAATTTGCCCCAAAAATTGCCAAATTTGCCAAGAAATTTGCATTTAGAGTCCATACAGACAATTGCTGCTTACCCCATGAAACAAACAAATAGAAATAGACTGGCATTTTGGGGGTTATTTTGAAAATTCATGCATTCTTTAAAGAAAAGCCCCCCTGATCTAATAAAAATATGGAGGGGGGGCTCAGGCACCCCTGAATTTGAATTTTACAATAATTTGATGTTTTGCATTGGGTTGCATCCCTGTTCTTTGTGTTGCCTATTTGGTCATCAAGACTTCTGGATTTCCTCTCAGGATGTAAATAAATGGATCGTGGACTTTAAGG